TTGGTCTTTGCAATGATTTTTAAAAATGTAGTATTAAGAGCAGGAGAAACAAAACCAAAAATAAACACATAGGACCACATCAAACTAAAAGCCTCTGCATGGCAAAAGAAACAGCAAAGTGAAATTCGACTTACCGAATTGAGAAAGTATTTATAAACCACACATCTGGTAAGGGGTTAATCTCCAAAATATCTAAGAAATTCCTACAACTCAACAGCAAGAAATCCAATAATGTGGTTAAAAAATAGACAAAGGACCAGAATAGCGTTTTTCCAAAAAAGACATAAAAATAACCAAGAGGCTCATGAAAGGATGCTCAGCATCACTAGGCATCAGAGAAATACAAATCAAACCCACTGTGAGATGTCACTTCATGCCTGTTACAATGGCTCTCATCATAAAGACAAGGGAATAAATACTGGAGAGGATGTGGAGAAAAGGTAACCCTCGTGCGCTGTTGGTGGGATTTGAAACTGGTAGAGCCCCTATGGGAAACAGTATGGTGGGTCTTCAAACCATGTGATCTAGCCGTTTCACTTCTGGGAAAGTGTCTGAAGGAAACAAAGTTATTATCTCCGAGAGAGATCTGCACCTCCATGTTCACTGGAACATTATTCAAGACATGAAAACAACCCGAGTGTCCCTCAGCAGATGAATGGATAAAGAAAATGTAAGATAATATGTGTACGAATTTCTAGCAATAAGGTGAATAAGTTCTGGGGATTTAATGTACAGCATGGTCATTATAGTTAACAGTATGTAACATATATTTGAAAGTTGCTAAGAGAGTATATATTAAATGCTCTCACCACACACACACACAAATGATAACTATATGATGTGGTGGACATATTAACAAATCTTATTTTGGTAATCATTTTGCATTAGATATTAATATAAAATCATTTTGTATACCTTAAACTTACACAATGCGATATGTCAATTATACCTCAATAAAGCTAGAAAAAAAAGACTGATGTCTGACTTTTCAACAGAAAAAATAAAAATGGAAGTCAAAAAACAACAAAATTACACTGTGAAAGTGCTGAATAAAATAATTAGTAATAACAATGATGATGATACACCTGTCAACCTAGAATTTTATATCTAGTGGCAGATTTCTCTAAAAAAGGCAAATCAGAAACATTTTCATTCTAACAAAAGCTAAAAGAACACAGCATCAAAGATACAAAGCGAAAGTTACAAAAAAGAGAAGTAGACAAGTCCACAATTGTGTAGTGTATTTCAACACATCTCACTTATTATTTCATAGAAAAAGCAGCTAAAGTAAAGATATGGAAGATTAAAAAAATGAATGACTAGCTTTATGTAATTAATTTTCTATGAAATTTCATAGAATTTTCATAGAATACTATGTACAGACATGAGTGGATATGCATTCTTTTAGTGCATATGGAATATTTGCCAAAGTCGACCATATGGTGGGCCATTAGGCAAGTCCAACAAATTGAAGGGATCGAAATTTTACAGAGTCTGCTATGTCAAAACTTGTGTTAGCTACAGCAGTCCTGAATTTAATATAAAAATGCAAGTCTTTGAAAAAAGAAAGATTAAAATCAATGCATATATTAAAAGAGGAAGAGTTGAAACCTGCAGTCCAATAAGCCAAAGAACTCAGATTGTCCCCAAAATAGAATGAAGGGAAGGACGAAGGGCAGAAATCAATGAAATAAAGCAGACATACAATAGAGAATGTCAAGAGAGCAAAGATTTGATTCTTTGAAAAGATTGAATTCCTTGGAAGACTCATAAAGAAATCAAGAGAGAAAAAAATTACCATAGAAATGAAAAAATAGAACTTTGGTGCAGCTTCAATAGATATTAAGTGGGTAATAGAGGATGTTGTGAAAACGTTATGCCAATAGATTTGAAAATATAAGTGAAGTTGATAAGTTCCTTGGAAACCTAAGTATCAAAGCTCAGACAAGGTGAAAATAGAAAGTCTGGCTGTAATACTATTTTAAAAGCTGACTCTGTATTACAAAGAAACCCCTACAAAGAAACACGTCTGTAATGGCTTCGCTGGTACATTCTTCCAAACATTTAAGAAATAAATGAAACCAATTTTACGTCAATCCCCTTTAGGAAATAGAGAAGAAACAGTTTCCAACTTATGTTATGAATCAACGTAACACCAATACCAAAACTCGACGGGGCCAAGAAAAGGAAACCACAGATCAATACCCCTTATGAAACAAAATTCTAAACAGAATATTACAGTTGTAAAGTACATTAAAAGGACAATATATTAGGATCAAGTAAGGTTTATCCCAGGGTTGTGAAGTTGGTTTTGAATGGAAAATCAATGAATATAGTTGATCATATTGCCAAAGTAAAGAAAGGGGAAAAAACATGAATACCTTAACTGGTACAGAAAATGCAATGATAAAATTCAGCGCCTGAATTAGTTTCCAGTTGTTACTCAACACTTTAGTGGCTTGAAACAACATACTTTTATTATCTCAGCGTTTCTGTAAGTCAGGAGTCCAGTCGACTGAGCTGGGTCCTCTTACTGCTCAGGGTCTCCCAAGGGTGCAAGAAAAATATTGTCTGGGCTGTGTTCCTTTCTGGAGCTCAAGGTCCTCTTATAAGCTCCCAGGGTTGTTGTTAGAATTCAGTTCTTGTGGTTGTTGGGTCAAATCCTCATTTTCCGGCTGGCTGTCAGGTGGGGACCACTCTCAAGTCCTGGAGGCTGCTTGCAGTTTTTTGCCATCTCTCCCCAGTAGTCACTCTCACTGATCCTCTTGAAACAGAGTAGTTTCAAGTTGATTAGGAAAAAGAGCTTCTGGCTATAGACAGTCTTTTAAAGGGCTCACCTGATTAGCTTAGACAGACGAATCTCCCTTTTAATTAACTCACAGTCAGTTAATTGGGGATTTGAATCAGAGCTTCAAAATCTCTTCCACTTTGTCAGATAACATAACCTACTCACACTGTATTCTCCGGTGGAGAGGATTATATGGGGCAAGAACACCAGGAAGCAGGAAAGGGGGGGGGGGTTCATCTTAGAGTTCTGCCCACCACAGAACTCATTTACGATCTAAAATCTCAGCAAATTAGGAATAGAATCTACCTTCCTTCATCTTATAAAGCCTGTCCTCAAAAACCCTTCAGCTAACATCATTTTATTGGTAAAATACTGAGCACTTTTTCCTTATCATTAAAAAATAAAACATTCATTGTCCTCACCTTTACTAACCTTTTACTGTAGGCTCCACCTAGTTCAATAAAACAAACAAACAAAAAATAGAGAGGAAGTGTGGAAAGAAATGTAACTGATGTTATTTGCAGTTGGCATGATTATGTACATAGAAAATAAACAAGTATATGGAAACAAACTACAGAAACAATAAGCATATCTAGCAAGATTTCTGGATATTATCCAAAAGCAATAAGGTGACATTAGGAAGTCCTTACCTATGAATAATTACTTTAAATGTAAATTGACTAAATTCTTCAATCAAAAGGCATAGGGTATTTGAATGGATTAAAAAACAGACCCAATTGTATGTTACCTACAAGTGACTCAGTTTTAAGGACACACATAAGCTCAAGGTGAAGGAGTATAGAAAGATATTGCACACAAATGGAAAATGAGAGAGAGCAGGGTTATATTTATTTCTTACAATGGAAGGAAAGAGGGGGAAAAATCTCCTTGACGTTGTTCTTGGCAAAGATTACTTGGCTTTGACACTCAAATTGCAAGGCACAGAAGCAAAAATCAACAAGTGGAACTACACCAGACTAAAAAGCTTCTGCATAACAAAACAATCAACAAAATAAAAAAAGGCAGCCTAGAGAATGGGGGGGAAATTGCCAACCATATATTTGACAGGGGGTTAATTTCCAAAATGTATAAGGAACTCATACAACTCAATTGCGCTTGACCATCCAGTTAAACAAATGCATGAAGAAATAATACAGGGCTGGTCACATGGTAAGACACTGTAGGTACAGCCTGTGTGTCACCTTCTGATGTGACATTTCAAACTCTCACGCATATGTTACCGTTGTGTTCTGGGGGGTTCACCAATTCTGGTTATTGTAAACACGAGCATACATGCATATTCATAAATTAACAAATAATAAAGCCGTTTTATTCTTAGTACGAAAATATTTAGGTTCTTAGTCATCACGGTCTATCATGTCAAAGGCATCCAAGCTACATGTGAGTCCCCTGCCATTGTAAAGGCTGGAGGAAAAAAAAAAAGCCAAGTGTAATTAATATTCAGCTTTTCTCATTTTTTGTTTCTCTGCAGATTGCTGCCAATTCCTGGGGAAAGTCGTGGGGCGAGAACGGCTATTTCCGGATTCTTCGAGGAGTAAATGAGTCTGACATTGAAAAGTTGATTATCGCAGCTTGGGGCCAAGTGACAGGTGCAGACGAACCGTGACATATCATCCCGTTTCCAGAAGGCTGTGCAGTCAAGGAACCCTGTCCCTTGAAATTAAGCGATGTGAGGTTCTCCGTGACATTGCCCTCTCACCTTGTTGTTACAATGTACTTGTTTTTCTTGTTTCACCCGGGGCTCTAAATTCCTGCTTCCTTTATGTTACTGAGTCTGGAAAAACATTCACAGAGGACAGCCCAGGGGCTAAGTAACTTTTAAGCACTCTAGTAATCTTGATTTCTCTCTCTTGACAATGTTCTTTTTGACTTTGATGAGGCCCAAACAGCGGGATGGTGCTTTTAATGCTTTAAACGTTCATAACGTTTGTTTGTAGCAATCATCTGGCTTCTCTCTTGAGGACTTCAGACAACAAAAAGCCATGAAAATACCAATTTACCATCTTTACGATTTTTTTTTCAACCGAATCATGCTTTCTGAATTCAGACCTTGCTTATTATGTTTTGCCAAAAAGCAATGGAAATAGATTGTGTCTCTCAATAAGCCAACATTTGGGTTCTTTTCATTTGCCTAAATGGAACTCACAATCCAAACTCGAAAGAACTGTGCCTCTGACAGGAAATAACTGCTCTTTACAGTACTGGGTAAGGACTTGTGATGTGGAGAAGAAGTGAGTGATGGAAAAGCTTAGAGGCTGACAATGGAAGCACAGTCTTGATAAACATACCCTCCTATTTTGGGAAGCCAGTACACTTTGTGTAATGTCTATTAAAATGAGCTGCAGAACGATATTTGGAAAGATAACGTACTTACCCTCCCAAACAACAACGTGATACCATGAGTCAGAAAGAATAACTTTACTTTTATCACAACCATTTCACAGTTCACGGCTTGAGATTCTGAAAAGTAAGCTACATTGGCACCCATTTGCATCCAATTTTAATTTTAGTTCTCTATTGTCAGAGAAACAAAAGTAGTATCATCGTGATGGTTGGGAAAGGATGTAATCTTTTAATAATTCACTGGCATCTGAAATGGCAAACTAATAAATGAAGAAGCAAAGCTGATCGGCGAGTGAGCGTGGCCAATTCTAATCACAACAGTGCGATATCCCTGGCCTTAATTTCTGGGGACTCTGTCATCTGGATTCCCTGTGTCGGGCTTTTTTATGTGGTTGTGACCAAAGGTACCCTGGTTAGATGAGCCAGATGTTCTAAATTGCGAGGAAAATGGAGCTCAGAAAGGTAAGTGTTGTTGCAGGGTTGTTTTCTGCACTATCACTGCAACTTTATCAGGAGAAGCATTTATTCACTTCTCCCCTGAGAAGTATCCATGAGGCTGACTGGCCTTGCTGTGGCTGTGTTGCAGGAAAATGGGGTGAGAGAGGATGGCCATGTCCCAGGACTTGGGCAAGTCCTGCCAAGGAGGAGTCCTTGGTTTTGTGCAGGAAAGAACTCAAGAGTGAGCCACGGCAGAGTGAAAGCAAGTTTAGAGAGAGACATACCCCACAGGCAGAGCGTGGTCCCTCTCGCTCAGAAGGGAGAGCGGCCACTAGGTGTGGGGAGGGTCAGTTTCTATGGGCCGGATAATTTTATACGTGAACGAGTCGGAGGGTTTTTCCAGCTATGTTGGGGAAGGGGCGGGAATTCCCAGGAAGTGGG